TACTCTGTGTTCAGACAGGATCGCAGCACTGCTGAAAAGCATGCCTAAACTGTATCAGTTTGTAACCTTTCCTACTAGAGGAAACAAAACACCAGCCCAATGGTACAGTAACATTAGAAATACTTTCTCAGCTGAACCTAAGCCTCATTTTGGTAGATCTGACCACCTAGCAATCCGGCTCAAACCTGCTTACACCAAACAACTCAAGGCGAAACCAGTCTCAGAGAGAACTGTTAACACCTGGAACCACTGTGCACAGGCCAGCCTGCAGGGCTGTCTAGAGTCCACAGACTGGAACATCTTTAAAGGGGCCACAGACAACATCCATGAATATGCAGAGACTGTGAATGACTACATCAGCTGGTGCGCATATGGATGTAGAATGGTGTGTGTTTTCCCCAACCAAAAATCATGGTTTAATAGTGATATAAAGCAGAAAATCAGGAAGAGACGAGAGGATTTTAAGTCAGGGGACCAAGCAGAGTACAGGAAATAAGTCCATCAGAGCTGCAAAGAGAGCATATGTACGTCCAAAAACTGGAGAGCTACTATATGAATAACAACATACGCAGTATGTGGCAGGGAATCCAGGCAGTCACAAACTACAGGAACAAATCGACAAACACAGCCCCCTAGGATGCCACCCTCCTGGACAGCCTCAACAACTTCTATGTGAGGTTTGACAGGATGAACACAGACACTCCCTCAAAATCCCCCTCTGACCCGGGGGACACTGCTTTTCAGGTGACACACAAACAGGTCCTGAAGGCCCTGAGATAGGTAAACCACCATAAGGTAGCGGAACCAGACGGTGTCCCCCCCCCAGAGTGTTGAGAGCCTGTGGGGATCAACTAACTAGTGTGTATACAGACCTCTTCAACCTTTAATCAAAGCAGTAGTTCCTCGCATTTTCCAAAAATCCATTATCATATCGGTCCCTAAGACATCAGACACATCCACTCTGAATGACTTCAGAAGCCTGGTGAATGACATTCTTGTTTATTAAGAGAAAAATAATGTCATCCTCAACATAAACAAGACAAAAG